AATCGCATTTAAAAATGTATTAAAAAAATTCGGTGATGGATAGAATATGGGAAGGGAATCAGAGGTATCAAGAATGATCCTGAATTTCTGGTTTGTATAATAGGATGGAGGGTGGTACCATTCACTGAAATATGCAAAACTAAAAGACCAGTTTGGGTGGGTTAGGGGATGGTAAAAATCATCAATCTGGGGGGGGAAATCATTAATCTGGACTTGGACAGGTCAGATCTGAGGTGCCTTTGAATTTATATTAGTTCACACAAACACTCCATCCATGCTTCTGTTCCGGCCCTCCGGTCCAGTTTAAGAACCCATTGTGAGCCTCGAGTCAAAAAGTTTGCCCACCCCTGCTCTATAACCTCTAACTGCATCAGTGGGCACCTTTCAGTCAATCATGTCACTGCCCCATTGTGGCAACCATGCCCACCGAAAATAGTCTAACCTGCCTCCCTTTGTGTCCTTGCCTGTGTTCATGTCTTATCTCCCCCGTGAAGAGGTGAGCTCCTTAAGAGTAGGACCATGACTAATTCACTTTTTTGAATCCCACACACAGTCTTCCGAACGATCCCCAGCACGGGGAAGGTCCTCAGGAGAATTGGGAGGAGAGAAAACAAGTTGGCAAAAATGCCTACCTGAGACACTGACGCATCAAAGCCTCCACTGACATTCCCAGTACAGTCTTCGCAAGAAAAGTGTCTTTCTCTGTTAACGGCACTAAAAGGCAAGAAGGAATGGGAGACGATGTCCAGAAGCAGTGTGCACGTGGCACGGGGAGCTGCCCTGGGCCAGGACGCCCGCATCAAATCCCCTCCACACTGACACATAGGAAGCACCGGGAAGGCAACTTAACACCCTCAGGACTCAGCTTTTTCGTCTGTAAAATAAGGATATTACCTCTGACATCTATCCTAGTTCAAATTCTATGAACGTTATGATTCCACAGAGCATTCGGTCAACTAATTAAGACCATACTGGAAATGTGACGGGGTTCCTGTCCTTGGGCCAGAATGGTAAGAAGTGGATCAAAAGTCACTTCCTTTAATACCCTCAAAGTTAAACAACACCTGGACAGTTCTGACATAACCAGCTGAGATCTGTTCTGCATTTAGGAGAATGCTGAGGCTGGCATAGTGGAAAAGCCAGGTTTAGTAATTACTTACAAGAAAGGTTTTAAGTATTGTGTTTAATAAATAACCAAGGTGAACGGTAGAGCCAGAGATGTAGAGTTAAAGCAGATGTCTGAAAAGCATAAGTCTTGTCTGGAGAGAATGCAGCCAATCACTACCATCTACCATATGGAAAAGGCTTTGTGGCCCTAACCGGTTTGGCTCAGTGGATAGAGCATCCGACTGCGGACTGAAGGGTCCCGGGTTTGATTCCAGTCAAGGGCACATGTCCAGGTTGCAGGCACAATCCCCAGTAGGGGGCATGCAGGAGGCACCGATCCATGATTCTCTCTCATCATCGATGTTTCTATCTCTCTCTCCCTCTCCCTTCCTCTCTGAAATCAATAAAAAAGTAATTTTTTAAAAAAAGAAAGAAGAGGCTCTGTGGCCTAAAGTGAAATATAAGTGGCTCCAGTGTTTTGGATTTTGTTTTCAGCAGGCAGAACATAGAGCAGCACTTCAAAAAGATTTACTTACCAACCAGAGCGTTTCATGGCATCAAGGAGAAGTTTGACATATGGATCTAAAAAGATATTGATTTGATTATGTATGCTAATTGGAATATACAGCCAATTAAATTATCCAAACAGCAGTATAAGATATTATCAAAAAGCAATTCACAAATCTTAATGAAGTTATACTATATTAAAATAGGGTGGTGGTGTTGTTTTTTTAAGACAGGCTTAAATTAACATAAAAGCAAGACTTTAATGAAATGAAGCACTGATACAAATACCAAGATGGGCGCTACCAAACATCTTAGATAATCTCAAATATGTTTTTAAAGACCATTTAGTTAAATGATCAAAGACTGGGGGCATTTGGGGCCATATCCATAGAAGCAAGCAGCAGCATAGCATCCAGATTCAGAGAAACGCGGTAAGCAGCCCCACTGCTGTCTATCGGGTCCGACCACACTGCAGCTCGGGTCCCAGACTGAGTACCACACTCTCCACAGGACGTGCCAGCTGAAGCTCTTCCTTGAGGGAAGGCGATTAGCACAGCACAGGACTATGTTCAGCAAGACGCAAGAAAGGATTTGTGGACTTGGAAAGGAGAAAAAAGACATAACTAGGACCACAGTAGCTTCAAGGATTTAAAGGGGTACCGTGTGGGAATAGATTCAGTTGCTATTTCTTAAGAGGATAGCACAAGGACCACGGGGTAGAAGTTAGATGGGGCAAATTTCAGCTCAGTATGAGAAAGGATTTTCCCAACAATTAAGCTCTTGATACAATAGACGAGTAGCCTCAAAAAACAGATAGCCGCCCTGGCCAGTTGCTCAGGGGTCAGAGCATCAGCCTGAGGACGGAAGGGTCACACAATTTGAAGAAAAAGAAAACAAAAATCTCCCATGAGGCTTGGTTTCTCCAGTCACCCCAGCCGCAGGTATAGAATTTCAAAGCTGTAGGTTGAAGCTTTAATACCACCAACAGGTTCTCCCAGTAGCCCTCCCTGTGGAGGCTGAGGCCTGCTCATTCCCACGGGGGTTCACGTCCAGCACCTCACATCCTATCTCAACTTTTTCCTCCACCGCTTAGCTCTTCCACTGCAAGAACATCTACCCTTTATTCAGCTCCTGATATGCTGGCACTTTACATTCATAAAATCTACTCCTCACAACCCTACAAGAGGTATTTTTAGGCCTCTCCCGCCCCTCCCCTTTCTTCTTTGCAGATAGGAATAGCAGAATCAGAGAGTTAAATCACTCTTCTACACCTAATGGAGAAGGACCAGAATTTGAACCAATGTCTAATCTGTATCCCATGTTCTTTCCACCGTGTTCCACTGAAACATCTTAAAAGCAAGGTCTTTAGTCATCTTGGTATTTTATTTTCCCACACCAGAACCTAGGAGGTACCCAGTACACACTGTAAATACAATGTCATTATTCCCTCTACTCCCCTTCCTCCACCCACCTCCATTGATTCCCTATATGCTGGTAACTCATTGGAAAACCTTGGGGTGGATGGGGTTTTTATTATTGTTGATTTGAGAGAGAAACACAGAGAGAGAGAGAAACATTGATTTGCTGTTCCACTTAGTTATGCATTCATTGGTTGTTTCTTGTATGTGCCCAGACCCGGGATTGGAACCTCGGGTTTGGTGAATGGGGATGATGCTCAAACCAACTGAGCTACCCAGCCAGAGCCGGGGGCCTGACTTTTGAACTGTGACTGGCCAACAGTGCATCAGTAACCTCGCTTTAGGACAAGTACGTTTGAGACTGATTTCTAAATGTATCTGAAGTAAGCTTGTCAATGTAAATAAGTTAAGAACTCTCCAGTGCAAGGCCCCTGGGAAGACAGCACTGGTGGGCAGGTAGCTGTGTCCTTCCTGAACCCACAGCAGTGGCTCTTAACCGCTTTGGGTCGTGGGCGTCTTGAGGATATAATGAAGCTATAAACTCTCTCTCCAGAAAATGCACTTAGGGGCATGCACACGCGATTTCCCAGCCCATTTCAGGGGTTCCTACACTCTGCAGCCCATCCATGTACGAAGGCTACAGGCCCCTTCCAACGAAGGGCAGGTTTGTAAAACTGTCATTTTTGCACTGCCAGCACTAAGTATGGCTTAATTAACGTGGCTCTTCACAACTCCGCTTCACCTTATCAACAATAAAATATATATTTAAAAAAAACACTCTGCTTCACCAGACCTGAAGTCCACCTATTGCTGCATAACTTACACAAAATCAGATGATCTGTCAGACCAGTGAGTGTGACCGAAAAGGGCAAACTCCTAACCCGCTTCCCCCTTCATCCACAGGCAGAAAGAGGGCCTCCTTTATAAGGGCCCCCCACCGCCGCCCCCATAATGCCCACCCAGCCCCGT